AGAAACACAAACGTCAACAGACGTGAAGAGACGAAAGTGTGAAGAAGAAGGTAAAATGGCCTGTAAACACGTCACATACATGGGGTAACAATAAAGCCCATTCCCAGCCCAAATCGGATGTGTCCTACGTGGACTTAATGAGGTGGCAGCCTATGTGGCATGCTTGAAAGGGAGAGAAACACTCCTTTATATAATAGATGTCATTTTAACTTTTTATCTTGTTGAAAAAAGTGCACTTTATAATTCCAATGCAAATTATATTTACGTTGATTTGCAAATTAATTGAAAGTTGTTTTGATTTTATAAAAAAATTATTTATGTCAAATATTATTGGTCAAAGAGATTAATGATATTTTATATATATTTTCGCTATTTTGTTAATCTGTGTGGAAAGTGTCAAAGTGACACTTATTAAAAACAGAGGGAGTATTGTATAGATTTTGAATATTTGCATAGTTTTTTTGGCGCACAACGATGTTGAACCAGCTAATGAAATATATGTTTATATTCTACTGAAGAATTAATTCATCCATACATCCAAATAAAATAAAATAAAATCATATACACTGATATTCCCCTTCATCATCAACTCGAATTCATAAAAGAAACACAAGTTCTACATAGAATCTAAAACATTTATTTTCGAATCACCCTTACCTCTCCCAGCATATAAAACAAAACAAAGAATTGTTTTATATGTCCATAAACTTTTCTATTGAATATATCAATGATCTTTAACACCCACTAGCTTCATTCCAACACCGAGATACAAAGCATGTTAACGTTAAAATCACGATACATACCAACAATCATGCCAGCCACAAGACTCCTCCTCAACACAAATTCTTTGATCCAAGTTTCACGCGAGGCAAAATTATCTTCATGAATTTCTTTCCAGAATGAAACAGTGTGGACTGTGTTTGTATCAAGATCCTTCACCTTTATATCGAAATGGCCAATCTTCAAATATATTAAAGACATGACATCTGGTATGTGTCTCAGTATAATAGCCTGGATATACTCCATTGGAAGTTGGATGTTGTCTCTGTACCATACTTCTTGGGGAGATAGGGTTTTGATGATATCCCAAGGAGAAGGAGTTATGGGATGGATTTTGATTTCCTCAGGAAGTAGTTGACCATTGTTGGCGTTTTCTTAAAGAAGGTATAGAACATTGTTTTTATCTTATTTGAAGTATATACAAGAGAGTTCTAAGTTTTTGTTGTTTCTTGTGGTTTTGTGGTGATATAAGTTGGATGATTATATATTGTATAATGATTTGGTCTTTTAGAGTTATGAGAGTCCAAATGCATATATTGATTTAGGTTCTAATTAGGTACTAAAGAAAACAATATGCATTTCATTAACATATAAATAGTACATGATTTATGGTTGGGTTATCTTAAACACTTGGTGGGTAAAGTCTTGATAAGATGGGCCTTCTGGGTTTTCTTTTAATATTTTATTAGAGAAAGGAAACCCATTAACAAGTCTTTTGATTGGTGAACGGTTTGGTTCTTAATAACTGGGATTGGTATCCCAGTTGTTTGGAAAGAGAAAGCTTTTTTTTTAACGCTTGTATTTCATTCATAAGTGTTATTACAATACTGAAACAAACAGCTAGCAACACAATATAAGAAAAGATACCAATAGGCATTGTAAATTAACCCCATACATATGTTGGTAATTAGTAAATGCAAAGGAAAATCGTGAAATTGTGAAGGAGAGCCAGACAAAACAAAAACCAATATAATTGCTTTTTAATCTCTCTCGTGTAATAAAGCCAACCAAGTAAGATCCTTGCTTCATACATAGCTGATTCTCACAACAACAAAACAATGCATATCTCTTCTCAAACTTATGAGAGACCCCTTCATAACCATGACTCGTAATGGGGCAGAGAACATGAAACATGTAGCAAGCAAAGTTTGAGTACATGAATGACATATCTTTCTTTTTTCTTTTATGTTTGATTGATTGTTTCTAATACACAACTCCTCTCTCTAATATGTGTGTGTGTATAGGTTTTACCATGTGTAAAGAACAAGCAAGGGAAAGAAATGCTTCGTGAGCTTTGCCATTGGTGGGACAATCACGAGAAGTTGGTTTCTCATCTGCACAAGTTTTTTTGGCGGTCTTCAAAGTTTTGCTGCCGAGCTTTCCTTCACATCAGATGAAGTTCCCAAGTGTTTGGCTTCTCATCTACTCTCCAACCGAAATAGAGCTGAATATAAAGCTTCATTAGACGAGGTTGCCATGGTCACTTTCTGGGATCAAGTTCTGTTAGTGATAGCTTCGGACACCACTTTCACTTCCAAGATGCGTTGAAAGAAGCTTTTGCAACACTGCGTGGAAGCTTAATTGCAAAACGACTTGCCACCTTTTGCGACAATAAGGCATGAGTGAATGATCTCTAAGACATTTATAAACTTTCTCTTTAAACCATACATAATCTAAAAACTAAAGATATGAAACGAGTTTCATGAGATGCATGCAAAAGAACATCACCAACAAGCATCTCATGAGTTTGAGATGAGTTGGAAACGTGTCTTCATACCAAAATGGATATGACTTTGGTACAAAGCTTGTACATAAGACTTAACAGTTCCAACAAGTTAGGATTCAACACGCTCAATTGAAATGATAGACTTGTCTAGTACCATTGCAATGATTTGGAATGATAAACTTGATCACATGCAACACCCATAGCATAATTGAGATTATAGTTTTGACCACATGTAACCACAGTTGCCCTCCAATGTTGGAGGATTTTTGTTGTTATTTTTCTTATTTATTTTTAAATATTTTGTCAACAAACAGTTTTAAATATTAAAAATATTTCATTTACAGTGTTTATTCTTCAAGTGAATAACATAAAATATTTGTTTCATATGATTTCAAATTTACATTGATTTACTTTAGAAACTTTAAGTTTCATTGCAAAATTATACTTTGATACAAACCTCTATCAATACATGTGGAATTCTATCATGTTTAACAACAATTTCATGTCATTTATGAAACCATGTTACAAAAGTTAATCACGTCATTTTGAGAAAAGAAATTATTGACAACTAACTAGACATGTTTGACATGAAATCCAACACGATTTTTTTCTTTTGACAAAATTATAATTTTATCTTTTTATTGAAAGAATGTTTATAGTAATATTAAACATATTTAATGGGAATAAAAGCACTAAATTTTTCTTTAAAAATAATAAAATAATAATATATTAATTTATATTTTAAAAAAACTTTAAAACAAATGAATGGTTATTAATCAGTAGGATGTCACTCGTTATATGAGTTTTTTTGTGTAAATTGTTCAGAGTTTCTATATGAGGAAATCTTTTTTTTTTTGGGTCTCTTTCTTTTTAATTATTTTTATTTATTTTAATATTGAGAAATTCAAAGAGAGATTCCCGATTAATTCTTTGGTAACATAATTAGCTAGTACTTTTTTTTTTGTTCAAACATAATCAAGGACATCTAAAATTAAATAAAGAAATCATAATGATGCCAAACCGAATTTTATTTCCCGGCCCATATTATATCCCATTTATCAGCCCATTCATTAACTAGAACCGCCTTTTAAGACCGGAACTCAAGAACTAAACTCACAATGTCTTTAGGTGTTTGTGTTTTTCAGATTGTCACAAACTCCTCCTCCCTCTGTTCGACTTGTTTTCGATTCCACTCCAAACATGTCAAAGGATCATCATCATCAAGCAATCGCAATCAACGATGCGGTTCACAAGATCCAACTCTCTCTCCTCAACGGCATCACTTCTCAAACACAACTCTCCTCGGCAAGAGCCTTAATGTCTCAATCAGACTACGAAGACGTCGTCACGGAACGAAACATAGCCAAGCTCTGCGGCTACCCTCTCTGCAGAAACTCCTTACCTTCAGATGTTTCGAGGAGAGGGAAGTATCGTGTTTCTTTGAAGGAGCATAGGGTTTACGATGTTGAGGAGAGTAGGAAGTTCTGTTCCGCGGGTTGTCTTGTTATTAGCAGAGGGTTTGGGAAGAGTTTGGAGGAGGTTCGTTCCTCGGAGTTTGATTTGGGGAAGCTTAGTGAGATTCTTGGTTTGTTTGGTGGTGGTGGTGGGGGAGAGTCTCTGGATGTGAAAGAGGGTTTGGGGTTGGGTGAGCTTAGTATTTGTGAGAAGAGTGATGTGAGAGGTGGAGAGGTTTCTTTGGAGGAGTGGATGGGTCCTTCTAGTGCTGTTGAAGGTTATGTTCCTTTGGATCGAAGTAATGGTAAAAAGGGTAAGTTTGATGGTGAAAACCATATAGCTATACATTTGGACAAAATTAATGTTTTAAAAATAAAAACTGTATAAATTATATGGCAATATTTCTGAACTAATATGTGTTATGTTTGCTAACACCATTAAAATAATGGATAAGCTAACTGTTCTTGAGAATAAGGATGTTGTTATGTGATTCATTTAGTTAGAGTAACGGGATAGATTATCTGTTTTGTTTTTGTTTCTGTTTATTATGACAATATATTATAAACTACATGAACTATATGAATATGTGTTATGTTGCTAGCACCATTAACATAATGGGTAAGCTCATCGTTCTTGAAAATAAGGATGTTGTTATGTGATTCATATAGTTTGTGTAACGAGATAGGTTATATGTTTTTTTTTTTTGTTTATTGTGTTTCTGAGTGGTTTGGTGTTTTGTCTTAGTGTTGATTATAATATGAGATTTGGTCTTGACAGATTCCAAGGCTAAGAATAAACAAAAGAAGCAGGAGGATGCGTCTTTTAACGAGATGGGTTTTACTAGCACTGTTATTATTCCTGATGAGTGTAGTGTAAGCAATTGCAAAACCAAACAGGGTAAGTTCGATGATGAAACCATATCTGTTTTGGCTTGTTTTCTCTTGTTTCTTAGCAGTTTGGTCTTTGTCTCTATGTTGCTGTCTTGACAGATTCGAAGGTTACTAAGAATAATCAAAAGAAGCAGGAGAATCCGCCTGTTAATGAGATGGAATTCACTAGCACAGTTATTATTCCTGAGGAGTGTAGAGTTTCAAAGGTTCAACCACAGACTAAAAAACCTTCTCCTGTAGTGAAACCTGAGGATGGCCAAGGGAAAGCACCAAACAAATCGAGTAAGCACTAAGGAAGTGTTAGAGTAGTAGGCCTTAGGACCAAGATATCTCTTAAGAAATGTAGCTGTGTCTGTTACTTACTGGTTTATTCATAGGAGAGCTTGAGATCTTGTCATGGTTACTAGGCCATTTCTGTTGATGTGTGTGGCAATAGATACTGTTATTTTTCCATGTTCTCTCTCTTTATCTATATGGTTGTGAAGTTTCACTGCGCGTGTGCAGGGTTTCGTCGTGAAAAAGAAAAGGAAAAGATCGATTTTGCGAGCTTTGGGTTTGATGCAATGGGTTGTGCAAGCTCTGTCACTGCTAGTGATGGATACAGCGTTGAATACAGCGTGTCTAAACAGCCACCATGTTCAACAGAAGACTCTCTTGGTGGCCAATTAAAAGATGGTGTCAAGACTTTGGATGAGAAATGTTCCTCTTCTGCCTCTAAAGAGAAGGGGTTTAAGCGTCCACCACGACGCAAACAAGCTTCTCATGTAGGGGAATCATCAAGCAAAGGGAAAACAGTTATAACAGCCATTGAGAAGGACATTAAAAATTCTCTTGTTGATGAGATGGGTGTCATGAGCGATGGATACAATGTGGAATATAGTGTGTCTAAGCAGCCACCATGTTCAGTTGAAGATCCTCTAAGTTCTCAGACGTTAGACAAGAAAGATGCTCTACTAGGATCATCCTCTGGTTCTAACACAAAAGTGTGTTCATCAAGTGAAACCGTCACTAAATCATGCCTTAAAGTTTCTGGCTCTAAGAAGCTTGCTCATTCAGTTACTTGGGCTGATCAAAGTGACGTCCGTGGTGTTCTTTGTGAGGTTAGAAGCGATGATACCGAGTCAGGTCTTAACCTGTCTTCTACTGATACAGAAGATGTCAACAGTGCATCACGCCTTGCATTAGCAGAAGCATGCGCTAAGGCATTGAGCCAGGCTGCTGAAGCTGTTTCTTCAGGAGATTTAGATGAGGTTAGAAGTGATGATACCGAGACAGGTCTTACTTCTACTGATACAGAGGATGTCAACAGTGCATCACGCCTTGCATTAGCAGAAGCATGCGCTAAGGCATTGAGCCAAGCTGCTGAAGCTGTTTCTTCAGGAGATTTAGATGCAAGTGATGCCGGTAAGTCCATTACATACGTTGTGGAGTTCAATAAGTTTCTGAATTTTTGAACTTTGTCATGTTTTGTGTAGCTGCAAAAGCTGGAATAGTTTTGTTGCCAAGTACACATCAACTTGATGAAGAAGTCTCTGAGGAGGAAGTGACTGAAGATAGTGAAGAGGAGGAGGAAGCAACTCTTCTGAAGTGGCCAAATAAGCCTGGGATGCCAGATTCTGATTTGTTTGACCGTGATCAATCTTGGTTTGACGAAACTCCAGAGGGATTCAATCTAACTGTAAGTCTTTTGTAATCATTTATACAAAAATGATCCATTACATGAAACTAAAGTCCACCACTTGCCTCAGCTATCAACTTTTGCTATGATGTGGGATGCACTGTTTGGATGGGTATCATCATCTTCTCTGGCTTACATCTATGGGAAGGATGAGTCTGCTCATGAGGAGTTCTTGTCAGTTAACGGTAAGGAGTACCCTAGGAGGATTTTCCTGGGAGATGGATCTTCATCAGAGATCAAGGAGACAATTGCTGGATGTCTTGCAAGAGCTGTATCTAGAGTTGCCACTATTCTCAAGCTGCCAATATCTATATCCGAGCTGGAAAAAGGATTGGTAACTCTCCAAACTTATTTGGAAATTGTCTAGCAAAAATCAATCTATCTTTGTCAAATATAGAAAGTACTCCTAAAATGAAAAGGGACCGATTTTTATAAATCGGTCTAGACGCCCGCCTAATCAATAATCTCATATAAAGTTCCTAATTGCCACCTAAAGATTTTTAATAGTGCTTAGTATACACGAAATGCTATCACAATAATATCATGTGAGAGTTATGCTGGGAAATTATATATATATATATATATATATATATATATATAGTTTTATCAAAAAAAAAAGAAGTTATATATATAGTTTCTCAGCAATTTGATGGTTGTGATTTGGTGTTGAGCAGGGAAACTTGTTAGAGACAATGTCTTTGACAGGGGCAGTTCCGTCTTTTAGGATTGAACAATGGCTAGTGATTGTTCTTCTGTTCCTAGACGCGTTGTCCGTGGCTCGCATTCCTCGGATTGCACCGTATTTACTGAACAAAACCAAGGTTAGTTGCAGTTAACTTGAACATAGATGATGAGTTGATTCTTTTGATGTATTGATTGTGTTGGTGAGAAATGAAAATTAGGTGTTGGAAGGAAGTGGAATTAGTAATGAAGAGTATGAGACAATGAAGGATATTTTATTACCGCTTGGCCGTGTTCCTCAGTTTGCTACCCTAAGTGGGGCTTAGACAAAACCCGGTTTAAGGTTAACCGGTGGAATAAGAAAACAAACTTTGGAAATATGAAAAATCATTCAAAAGCTGGCTTATGTTATTAGTCTAAGATGGTGTTGATTCTTGACGATGTATGATGACACTTAATGAGTTCTTCTCTATGCATGTGAGAAGAAAATAATGATATTGACCAAAGCAATTTTATTTATTTCGTGTTTTGTTTGTTGCACTCAATCAACACATGCCACTATTCAAATTCCATTTTCTGTTTGTTTGTGCTTTGTACATGAATGCCCTCTTGTAACTAAAAAGAAACATAAAAAGAAAAGTTGTCCAAACATATAATTATGACTATTTATTTGTTTCCAAATACTTAGCAAAAAAAAAACAAAGAGCAGAGTTGCAAGTATTTTTTAAAAAATCAATCAAGATTAATCCATTCAAATCCCCAAAAGAATCAACCAAACTTTTCTTTATTATATTCTCTATGAACATCGATAACGATCTTTATTGGTGGTGGATTAATTATACTTTAATTTAAAGCTTAAAATATACAGTTCTTGGCTAACAGATTACTATATAAGATTTGGATATTTGTATGAAAAAGTCTTCCAAGATAGTCATTAACTACTAATTATTATTATGTGGGTCGAAGCTGTTGAATATATTCCTCAAAGACCAAAACGACTTTCGAAGTGCTCTTTGCCATATACAAACACATTTTCAGAGTGTGTGCTTCGACAGGTTTCTTTTCATTTGCCTTTTGACTATATGTCTATATCTTTCTTCTATCTTCCTTGATTTAACATTTATGTAATATTATTAAACAACCTCCACCAAAATTCTTAGTTATAGAAACTATATGAACTTACTGTAGTTTAGTATACGGTTTAATATAGTTATTGTAATACTTCTGTTATGTTGTTATAGTATTTGACCTAACGTGTTTACCAATTTATTCAACAGAGATATTTAGTATTAATATGTTTCTAATGTCCATTTATATTAAAAGATATGAAACATATTACAATTTCAAGAAACATATATTTTAATTTAGAATTTGCATACGATCAAGGGCCGAAGGTTTAATAAGCCAATGATTAACTATTTTTCTATAAAGCCAAAAGAAAATCATGACACTAATAATACTTCTCTTATTTACATTGAGTAATTTTAGGCAGATGAATCTAACTGTTAGAGTTTGGCATTTCGTTGAAATTTGAGAGAATGATACCTAAAAGCATAATTAAGTAAGATAAGGAAGCAAGAACCAACAGAGAAACACTACTACTGTTTGGACATTTTACAATAACTCTATCTTTACATGTCTCAATACATAAAATAATACATACTTTTTGTTTGATTCTATCTATAACTCGAATATAATTGTTTGAAGAAAGATCGAAAGGAAAGACTTAAAGAAACAGAGAACTTGGATGCCTTTGGGAAGAAATTAATTAAAAAATAAAATGGACAGAGCAAAGACTCTTAAGCTAAAGCGAATACAGACCCCTTTGAGATTGATGAAGCTTGTCTGATAAAATCTCAACAACCGTCTGATTTTAATACCAGCTTCCACGTTTCTTCATCTTCATCCTCATTCATTCCCTTTCAGATTCTCGCATAATATCTTCATTACTATGATTTTCTCAACACTTTTCTGTTATTGTGGAAATAATTAAACGAAAAGAACTATAGTACCAACTATTAGTGGTTTAAGCATGATTAACCCTGGTCTATTAGTCTATTAGTCGAGTTTTTAACTCATGATTTGATAATTTCTTTTTTACACCTTTCGGTTAAAATACAGCTCTTATATCTCTTATTTAATAAACGCTTTTTAATTTTTCTTAGTTAAAATCTTAGAAAGCTAAGAATCGTCTCTTAGCCGAAACTAAGAACTCCAGTTAAAATACTGCGGTTAATCATGGTCTTCGTACAAAGAACTAATTTTGTCGTGTGAGTTCAATTCTGCTTAGAAATGTATTAGTAAGGTTTGGTCCCAAGAAAAAAAATTAAGGCTTGCCCAAACTCCTACTGGTTAATAAAAAACAGCTCATCATATGATGAACGAATTAGCAAAAAAAAAAGTTATACCATAATGCCTCATTATATGATTGATTAATTAGACAAAATATATTTATATACACCATAGCTAATTATCTGTACAATGAGTTAGAATAAACGGCACATAATCCCACAAAAGGAATAGGTACAAATAATTGCAAGAGACACATAAAAGAACGTTGGTCCTACAATGTAGCATGAACAAAACTTTACTTCGCTTTGATAATTTCTAAACAGAACCAAACCAAGATTCCAACCAAACCGGACCATAAAGAACTCCAACAAAAAGCTGTTTTGCTCAGCCACCCTATAAATACATCCTCAAAACCCCCATTTCTCCACATAAACACAAACACATCAACCTTAAACAAAGTTACAGTTATATTTTCTTGAATCTTGAAACAGCAGAATGAAGTTCTCTCTCTTCAGCTTCTTGAAACCACGAAGATCTTCTCATAGAGTTGATGCAGACGCATGGGACGATGGCGTATACACAAGAAAGGCATGGGCCAGCGACGAGGACAAGCGATATTGGGTGGCTGAGCCAGGTATTGACCGTAAGGCTTCTGCCTTTATCGCCAAGTTCCATGCCTCTCGTGTCTCTGAGTCTGAGTGCCAAACTCTCCCTCCTTGCCACTCTCATCATAACTAGCCATCATCACATCATCATCATGATAAATGAAAGAATGCTAATAGCTTATTTTAGTTTGGTTCTATGTATATTATTCTCTTTTCTTTGATGTTCATGATGATGTAAAATGTCTAATATGCAGTTTAAGTTAATTCTATCTAAAACTAATTACTATTTACTTGACAAGTCTATAATTCGCTACGTTTAAGTGTTGAACACTATATATGATCCAAATAAATATATTTCAAATATATTCACTCTACCAAAATATCTTAAAAAATACACGACATATATATGATCAAGATCATGTGAAGACGTTCGGAGTACTAAGATAAATACATTGATATATGGTTCTAGACTTCTACTCTAGCTAGTGAATTTTAAGATCTTACACTATAGTATCTGATCTAAGTAGCTAGTACTTGCACTAACATCTTCACAATAAAATATACAATTCGGTTTGTAAAAAACAGTTTAGCTACTATGTATAACCATCGTAAAATGCCAAAAACCAAAATCCATGTAATATAATATACTATCTGAAGACGACTATGGATATTCGTAGCCAGTATGTAACATTTGTTTTTGTGTTACTTTGGTACATTTTTACAATTAATTAGTATCCAAGTAGCAATTACGAAATAACATGTATATAATGAGGTTAACTAAACAAGAACAAAGATATAGAGCCAGTTGTATAGAATATAGAACAAGGTGGTGAGGATATTTTTTCCCACATATACTGTAGTTTGTATAAAAAGGTACCACATTTTTCCCACATGGAGAGAAAGAGAGGGTTTGGGAGAGTGAATCTGTAAAAATTAGATTTTGTTAAGGGTAGTTTCGTTTTTTACCACATTTTCGATTAAAATATGAATAAAAATTTAATTTTTTTTATTGGTAGGGTAATATAGAATAGACATGGGAGTGACCGGGGCAAAGAAGAATTCAGTCCACAATAATATTTTAATTATATTTCTGTTTAATTTTAGTAAAGTAAATTATTGTAAGAAAATATATCTCTTTTAGATTTCATAAGAATTTAGTGATTTTTTAAAGGCTATTTTAATCTCTCTTTTTTTAATTTATTTTTTTTTTCAAAATTTTAGTGAAAACTCTACACTGGAGATGGTCCTAACTTTTTGTTTTACGTTTTTACTAGGTGTTTTGCCCGCACATGCGGGCATAATTTTTCGTATAATTTTTTTTTTATAACACTGATTAAATGGGGAACAAAGTAGTACGCGAAAGAAAAACAAAATAGAAGATACAATGTCAATAGTTTATTATTAGTCTTTATTTTATTAATTCAAACAAAAATAATAAGTTATGATTTATGTTTTCAAATTAATTATAAATGACAACACTCACATAATAAAATATTCTTAAAAATATATTTTTACAAATGTGTTGCTTTAATTTATTTTAATTATAATTTTTTCGATCTTAATTTTTTATTTCTATAATAAAAAATATATTTTCAAGATAACAATATAATACATAAGAACTATCTTATTTTATCAAAATATAATTTTTAATAGAAATTCGTTTTTATTTTATAATAAATTTTATATGAAATTATTAAAAATATGACAAATAATCAAAATTATCTAAATCATGGAGAAATTACCAATCAGATAATTCACTTAAATTTTCTAATAGAAAATATATGTTGAAGATAACAATCTAACACATAAGAATTATCTTATATTTTTGAAATCTAGTATTATTATATACATTTGTTTTATTATTTAATAAATTCTATATATAAGTATTAAAATATGATAAATAAGCAAAGTATAAAACCATGGAGAAATTGATAAATCAGCATTGCTTTCTTTATAATTTTTAATAGAAATTCGTTTTTATTTTATAATAAATTTTATATGAAATTATTAAAAATATGACAAATAATCAAAATTATCTAAATCATGGAGAAATTATAAATCAGATAATTCATTTAAATTTTCTAATAGAATTTATATGTTCAATATAACAATCTAATACATAAGAATTATCTTTTTTAAAAAAAATCTAGTATTATTATATACATTCGTTTTATTATTTAATAAATTTTATATGAAATTATTAAAATATGATAAATAAGCAAAGTATAAAACCATGGAGAAATTGATAAATCAGCATTGATTTCTTTATAATTTTTAATAGAATTATTTTATAATAAATTTTATATGAAATTATTAAAAATATGACAAATAACCAAAATTATCTAAATCATGGAGAAATTACAAATCAGATAATTCATTTAAATTTTCTAATAGAATTTATATGTTCAATATAACAATCTAATACATAA